AGTGGCTCCCTGGCCGCCCAGTGCTGTTATGCTGATTTACCGCTTGCTTAATAAATAACTTTTTATTATTCACCACAATTGGCTCCTGGACCTTTGTCCTAACTTATAACAATCTTGTAACAAAAATCTGATGTAGAAAGTAGCATTTCTAATACACTAAACAAAGTGAAAGCGTATGGTTTGACACCTTACCCAGAGACACATACATTGATGAGAATCGTTAAGTATCTCTCTGTGAAGTCATCAATCGTTGCCAATGTCAGTGACAATTAAAAACATACCATTACAGGATAGAGCTTTTTGAAAAACATTTTCATGTCACTTCAGTGAAACCACTCTGAAGTTTCCTACAGCTTCTCCCAAAGATTGTAACCGAACGAGCTGTAATTTTAAATCAAGTAGATACTTGCTGTAACTGACAGCAGACGAGGGAAAGATTTTTTTTCTTCTTGGCCTGATGTTAATTAAAAAAAAAAAAAAAAAAGAAAAGGGTGGGGGCAAGTTTTGAAAATTTCCTTTGCTAAAAACTGAGTGCTACCACTCACCATTCCCGGGTGCTACTACTTGCCATTAAATAAATGAAACTGTTTCATAAAGTCACTGAGACAGCCACTGGTATCCACTGAAAAATGTTTTGTCAAAAAAAGGGATTTATGCAGCAGTCTTCTTGGATAAACCTGGATGCTAGATGAAAGAAAATCATGTAGTTTTATCTAAAGATGCTGGTTAATGTTAAAACCAAAAACAAAACCCCACACAACAAAACCCAGAACAAAAAAAGCAAAAAAACCCAACCAAGCAAACACAAAAAAAACCAAACACACAACCACATGAACAACAAAAAGAAACCAAATTTCAGCTTTTACTTATCTTTAAAACTTTGCCAACAAATTCTGTATAAAGGTTTTCATGAGGGCAAACTGGGCTACCATTAAAATCAAATGTATCTAATGAGTAAATCTGTTGTCTTATAATAGATTTGCCAGACTTTGTCAGAGACAAAGGCAGTAATATAAAACCCAGACTCTAAGACTGATTTCTGAGAGAACTTTCTTTTGTGTGAATACATAATTTCTTCTCTTTAGATTTATACAGATATTGCCATGGTCCTAGGCAGTGTTGAGATTGACTCACCTTTTACAAGCCAATTTTAACTTCAGTCTACAGAGATCTTTCAAACGTAAGTGTAGTTTTCTAGCCAAGAACCTGGTTTTCACTGAATTATTGCCACACTGTCATAGATTCAGCAGAAGATGGAGTTTAAAATCTGCCTGTGTAGCTGTGTTGGTTTCATGGTTTAAACCCAGACAGTTGGTCAGCACAAATTTGTAGGTCAAAATAGTGACCTAAAACTTGTATTATAACTGTCACAATTAAAGCTATATATATTTACAAGGAAAACTATAGTAAGACAGGATTCTTAGAAACTGTTTCTTAGACTTTTCGGGGGGGGGGGGGGGGGTGGGAATATTTCCATAAGGACTCACTCGTGCATCAAAACCAAAAGCAGCAAAGAGAATTCCTTCACAGTTATTTTCCAGCTTATATAAGCTTTTCTGCAAAACTGGACTGGTTTCCCACCTGCTTCCTAACTCTTAAGCAATGCATGTGGCAGACTGAAAGGAAAACTACTCTTGGGCAAGCCAGGAGACATGGGCTGGAGTTTTAACCGTGAGTTTCCAACGCTTACAGCTCCATCAAAACCTGCATCAGAGAATGGCTTGCAGCCAGAAATGCTGACTTGCACAGTTCACTTCTGTCATTTATACTGTTTATTATCCCTATACTGTCTCCTTATGCCCCTTCTGTAATTTTTCTTTCATACAATGCTTGCTAAAGTTCTGTTATCTTCTCTTGAATATACCAGAAATACAGACTTGGTCATCTCTAAAATAACAGCATGCTCCAGTCTGGGTATTTTCCAGTTTGATGTGATCAATATGGCTAAGACCACAGAGATCAGCACAAATCATATCCTAGAAAAGGTTTGGTACAGCAGCTTATGTCCTGCCTCCGAAAGGCTGTATTTTCTCCAGGAGTTAAGTATCTACAGATGGATTCACACAGCAAGATTTTGGTAGGGGGGGGGTGGGGAGGGCTGCTGTGTGGCATCTGTTGAGAAGCTTCTAAAAGCTTCTCCCCTGGCTGATGGAATCAATACCAGCTGGCTCCAAGATGGATCTGCAAAACTTTCTAGCAGGGAGTCGAATTAATGGCCATACAAAAGTTTTGCCAGTAAAACATGGCCTATAGCTTTGTGCAGAGTTCTAAACACCAGAGTTCATGAGAATTTAACTAATTTTTATACACATGACAGAGCAAATTTAAGAGATGAAAAGCATGTAACTAAAATTGTTCACACAAGCACAAATCGTTGTAGCTTCTTACACATACATTTCAACAATAAATAGAAAATACGAGACTAAAATAAATGGTTATCTTTGAGATCACTTTGTAACAGCAGTTCGGCGACTTAACTGCCTCTTTCAGCAGGGAATGTACTCAGCATCAATGACACACCAGTAAATATACAAAAATTAGTAAATCCCCATAGTTTGGTACTCTCAGCAAGCCAATAGTCTGAAGATGCAGGAAGGAATGTATGAGACAGAGTGAAATAGGTATGGTCACTACAAGAAAAAACAGCATTTGGGAGTATGGTAGAGCTCAGAGTCTTTGTCATCCCATAGCTGTGCTTTTCTCTCCTTTGCTTACAGAAGCAACTGACTCACAAGTTGCTCCAGTAAGCTGTACAAGTTAATGTAATGGACAAGGGCCTCTGTCTTTGCTGTGATTCTGACCAGCTTAAACTATTGTCATATTGGGCAGGAATCTGAGGAGTACACAGCAGATTTGCCTATTAATAACTTGACCCTAACTTATTCATACATCCCTAAGGAAAAAAGATAAATCACCTCCCTGTGAGGGACTTAAAAGCAAACAAGTTAACAAACTAACCTGTTTTTATGAAATTATAAAGGTGGCAGTGATTATCTTTGCATGTTTGCCATTACACTTACCTTAGAAAAACCCAAAACACTGCAATTAAAGTTCAGCTTACATTAGACTCCTACTTAACATGAATTACACATCACTTGCTTCAAGGAATGAATAGCAATTTCATCTTAATTTTTCTCAGGCCTTACTGTTAACAGCAAATCTGTTATTTGCTTCTCTTTGGAGAGAAAAATACCATTTGTGGCGTGGCGTGGCGTGGCATGGTATGGCAGCTACTCCAGAAAGCAGATAAGCGTGCTGACTTCAGCTCTGGACATCCAGCTTCATCTCTCCAGCTACTGGTCTTCTCTGCTAAAAGAAATTTCCAGGCTGTCCGAGGCTTTATTTTCCTGTCCAGAGCCGTACGAAGTCACTTATACCGTTCCCCTAGCAGACATAAGCCTTCCCCCGGCCTTAAGAACAGACAACACAGCAGCGAACCAGTCAAGCCAATTCCACAAAGCCCAGCCGCACCCCCGATCCCCATCCCCCACAGCCGAGCCCAGCACCTCGAGTACGGGACGCCCCCACCCGCTGCAAGGCCTCTCCACTCGCGCGCTTTCGGGAGAGCCAATCAGCGAGTTCCGCTCGCCTCTGCGCCGCCCGGGTGACAGCCAATGGGGAGCCAGCACGCAAGGGCGAGGGGATCGAGGCGGTTTGTCGTTGTCAGTTGGTGTTGCTCGGCGAGCGGTGCCGGACTGGGTGCAGCGGAGCTGGAGTGTCTCAGCTTAGTCGGACATTATGGTGGGGAACGGGGTCCTCGCGGCTGGGCAGAAGAAGGGTACTTGGGAGGGTCGCTGTAGCGGCGGAATGGGGAGCCTGTGATAGCGTGTGGTCTGTTAGGACTTGCAGTCTCTGTGAGAACGCCCCGCAGTAGCAGCAAGGCAAAAGGACTGGGGAGGAGGAGGAAGAGGAGAAAAAATAATATAATAATAGTTAAAGGGAGGAGAGGGATAAAAACTGGCCGGTGGGTGGTGAGACAGACATGTAAAAAAGCAACGGAGGCTTGCTCTTAAATTCGCGTCTCGCGGAGAGACAAGGAGCAGACCGAAACCTGAGCCGTGGCGGGAAAGAGCGTGGCAGTAACCGGCTGGGCCTGTGCTCTCCGTTGCTTCGGGCTGTTAACGTGCACTGCGCCGGGACCTTGCACGTAGCCAATGGGAGGGGAGGTGCTGGATCAGCATTCGGCGGCGCCGCGTGCTCCGTCAGGGCTGAGTGCAGGGGCCCTCTCGCGGGGGCGCAGGCGCGGCAGGGCAGCCCCACACCGGGAGGCGGGAGCGGAGAGGCTGCGTGAGAGCGTTGGAAACGGGCTGCCGGATGAGTAGAAGTAGGAACGAGCACAGAAGTAGTCTCGCTGGCAAAAGGCTAATGACAGAACCAAGGTGTGAAAATTAAAACATGAAAGTAAGAATACAGGGTTTGATGAAGCTACCAAGGAAAGAACAGCCCAGTTTTTTCCACCTCTGCTTTTTCCTACATGTGCTGTAACAGTAAGCTAGAAGAACAGCTCATTTCCATCTCAGGTGTAAGACAGAATCAAGGTATTGAGAGATCAAACATTTGCGGCACAGTTGCTTGCAATCAAAGTAGCTGGCTAAAAGTGGGCAGGTGACATCTGATTGAGACTCCTGGATGGTTTCAGAAACAAACCCAAATATGTATGAATTGCCAGGGATTAGATATCTGCTTATTGTAAAGGAAAACATACTAATTGGTCCTATATAGGAGAAATTATTGCACAGTATATTTGACAGCAAATAAAGGAAATTAGAGAATGCTCTAAAGAAGTCTTCTAAGGAAGATGAAAAAGAGACTAAGCAGAATATTAAAGATATTTTGCATGGTAAGGGAGGATGAATCTATATTCACCTATGTGTTCACAGAGACTGTGTTGTATTCAGGATCTTCCAGTACTTTCACATGACTCAGCTAAGGTAAGTAGACAGCAAGCAGCAGACAATTTGATGAGTTAATAGTCACTGAAGAGCAACCAGGGGATACTGAAGCAGAGAAAGCTCATGGAAAGATACAACCCACAGATGACTAGTTATTATGAGAAGAAAATCTGGAAGACAGGTAGATCCATATCTCATTGTTCTGTTTTCAATTTGCAGCGTGAATGCATATCCATCCACGTTGGTCAGGCTGGTGTACAGATTGGCAATGCATGTTGGGAATTGTATTGTCTTGAACATGGAATCCAACCTGATGGTCAAATGCCAAGTGATAAAACTGTGGGACATGGAGACGATTCATTTAACACTTTCTTCAGTGAGACAGGAGCTGGTAAACACGTTCCCAGGGCAGTGTTTGTGGACCTTGAGCCAACTGTTGTTGGTATGTACCCAACATTAAAGATCTTCAGTATAAAAGTGAAGAGCCCCTACAGATTACTTATGGTCTGGATTTTTTTCTTTTGGTTTTGGGGGTTTTTGGTTGGGTTGTTTTTTGTTTTTTTTTGGTGGTGGTGGTGGTTTTTGTTCTTGTATATGTGTGATCAGAACCCTGTACTTTGAAAGATGTGTGTCTGCATGCTGTTCTGACATTTGAGGTTATTGTTACTTGAAAGAAATGATGTTCTACAGGTTAACAACATTTTTCTAGAGTGCTGCACTGCACCCAGAGTTTCATTCAGTTGCTATCTGGAATCTTGTCTGTACCTGTAATGTAGATTTTCTGAGTGAACCTCTTTTCAGGAACAAATACTGTTCTATGAATGGCTGATGTCTTCCTCTAAACAAAAGAGCTGAAGTTGTGCCAGCTTTCTAGTCTAGTCAGGCAGTCTGGTTATAGTCAAGGAAATGCACGCTTAGTGTATAGTCACTAAGTGGCATACACAGAACTGAATAGATTGAATCTGTGTTGTGGTAATCTGTTTTCTTACAGATGAAGTACGTACGGGCACATACAGGCAGTTATTCCATCCTGAGCAGCTCATTACTGGGAAGGAAGATGCAGCCAATAATTATGCCAGAGGCCATTATACCATTGGAAAAGAGATTGTTGATCTAGTGCTAGACCGCATTCGCAAACTGGTACGAATTCATGCTGCAAGTCCATATTTAAAATAATTGGTACAGCTCTACAGCTATTTATAACAGTGGTTTGATGTGGTTTCTTCCCTGAGAATTTTGTGCATAGTTTATTGTTTAAAACCTGGTCTTCTTGTTCACACCCCCAGTTAAATAAAAATTCAGTAAATAAAACTTACTACTGGGCCCCCCCCCCGGTTTTGGAATACCAATATTTGAAAGTATTTTAAGGATACCTCAGAAACATTATAAAAGCCTTGAACAAGTGTAACAATGCAGTTATACTTTATTATTTGTAACTTTCAGTTTGATTCCATGCCTGTTATAAGTGGTGCAAAATAGTACCCTCAACCTCAGATTTTGGTTGAATACTTAAAAAAAAATAATTAAAATGGCTGACACTGCACTGAGAAACTCATGTAGGATCATGTGATTCAGAATTAAATGGTGATTGTCTTTCAATTTTTGTAATTTTAAATAACTTGTTTTTAGCATCTAATTGATACTTGCTGAAAGCCAGAATGGGAACAAATGTATTCTAAAGATACAACTTAGCTGTAATTTATAATAATAAATCACAGTGGTGCTCAGCTGCTCTTGCTTACAGAAGAATTAAAATGGCATTACAGACAATAAAGCAATTTTTAAATAGTAAAATACTCCTATTCAGAAAAAGTTACACAGTGGCACTGGTACTTTTGAGTAAAAGGCACACAGGAAAAAAGGAAGCCCATCTTTCAAGAATACTGGGGGGGTTTATTATAAAAATCTAAAACACACTTAAGAAGGAAATGCTGTTGAATGATTATTTTAATAGTGCTTTCTGCAAAATAATTAATTTTTTTTCCCCACTCTTTTCCACCCCATTATAGGCTGATCTGTGCACAGGGCTGCAAGGTTTCCTTATCTTTCATAGTTTTGGAGGAGGCACTGGTTCAGGATTTGCATCTCTGCTCATGGAAAGGCTCTCTGTTGACTACGGCAAAAAGTCTAAACTAGAATTTGCGATTTATCCAGCACCACAGGTTTCCACTGCTGTAGTGGAACCCTACAACTCAATTCTAACTACCCATACAACATTAGAGCATTCAGACTGTGCCTTTATGGTAGACAATGAAGCCATTTATGATATATGTCGTCGTAACCTTGACATTGAACGTCCTACTTACACTAATTTAAACCGATTAATTGGGCAAATTGTTTCATCCATCACTGCTTCACTGCGTTTTGATGGAGCCCTCAATGTAGATCTGACAGAATTTCAAACTAACCTTGTTCCATACCCACGAATCCATTTCCCCCTGGTAACATATGCCCCTGTCATCTCTGCTGAAAAAGCCTATCATGAGCAGTTATCTGTGGCCGAAATCACTAACGCTTGTTTTGAGCCAGCCAACCAGATGGTAAAATGTGACCCTCGCCATGGCAAATATATGGCCTGCTGCATGTTATACAGAGGTGATGTTGTTCCCAAAGATGTCAATGCAGCTATTGCTACTATCAAGACTAGACGTACCATTCAGTTTGTGGATTGGTGCCCTACTGGATTCAAGGTACTTGCAGTGCTTTTTAAGCGCTTAATGTTTGGGTTATTAGCAATTGCATAGTATTTAGAGGTAATAGTCATTCCAAATCTTGTAATGTCCCTGTTAAATATTTTGATGAAGTGCAGAAGAACTGTAATCTATTTTATTTGTTCATAACCATGGTGCTTTTTGATTGTTAACAGAAATAAGTTTTTGAGCCTTAGCACTCATAAGGAACATTTTTATATGTTTTGTTGAAGGTGGGCATTAACTACCAGCCTCCAACTGTGGTACCAGGTGGTGACCTTGCAAAGGTGCAGCGGGCTGTGTGTATGTTGAGTAACACAACTGCTATTGCTGAAGCATGGGCTCGCCTCGACCACAAATTTGATCTCATGTATGCCAAGCGTGCCTTTGTGCATTGGTATGTTGGGGAAGGAATGGAGGAAGGAGAATTTTCTGAAGCCCGGGAAGATCTGGCTGCCCTTGAGAAAGATTACGAAGAAGTCGGCATAGACTCAGTAGAAGCAGAGGCTGAAGAAGGAGATGATTACTTGGACAAAATGTAGAGAAAGAGGAAAAAAAAGTAGAGCCCTGTTTGTAGAACATCTACTTGTTTGCCTGTTTTCAAATAAAGTTTTAAAAGTTCTACTTCTTTTTATTTTCTTCTTTACTATGTATGTGCATACTTGCTAAGTAAGGATCATTTGAGATGGCGTATTTCGGTAGTATCTTGTCATGTGCAAATTACAGAAAAATTCAGGAAACTAAACACATCCCTGGGATGCCAACACATTCTGAGAGCTTCTTCATCTCCTTCGTTTTTGGTTTTTCACAAGCAGGAAACTGCTTCTGCTTCAGGTTGTTATAGCACTAGTTACCACCCTTACTATTCCAAGCCTGTCTGCATGATCCAAAGGAACTTAAACTTTTCTGAAGATGTTTTAAGTATCCACAGTTAACTAATGCTGTACTTCTGACTAGTTATGGCAGATGCCATTACACTTTCAAACAGAACTAGCACTTAATACCTTTGCTAAGGACATAAAACTTCACAATTGAAAAGTGTTTAAAACTTTCCAATTGGAATCCACCCCACTACCTCCTGTATTTGATTCACATAAAAAATAGATGTGTAGATTTCTTACCTGCTTTAAGAATATTGTCACTTTTTTTTACATTCCTACGTTTGCCTTGTGAAGAGAAAAAATACCCCCCCAAAAAAAAACACCCCCAAAATTTATATTCTTTAATGGGTACGTTCAAATGACTATAGCTTTATATGCATTGGAAAGTTAACTTGTATGGTGCTTGGCTGCTGACCTGCCATGTTCAAATTTTTAGTCCTAAATCCCGAAGAGAAACAAGTGTTGTGTTTTGGAGGTTTATATTTTTTTTTCCCTTCCTGTGTTCAAGAAAACCAGGAGGGAGAAAGAGGGGTTACATAGACTAAAAATACCCTGAAGTGAATTATTTTCAGAAGTTCCTGTAACCAGCATCTGTAGAGCATGTTCTGTATGCACAGTTTACAGGGTTCTAAAAAACGAACCGTTGTACCAAAAAGTACCTTTGGTTTTGGTTCAGAAGACGGAACGGCCCCAGAGGGCACCGGCCCGACGCGTGAGGCACAGCCTCCTCCGTCCCATGCTACTCGGCACCGAGCTCTTGTAACCGCATCACACCCCTCACCAGGTCGCTCCCCGCGCCTGACGCTGCGATCCTAGAGGATGCCCGACCGTGCTAACGTTAAGTTACGCCAGCGCCACAGAGAAAAGTGTGTGCAGCCCCCCACAGGACGAGCCGTGGGCTGACGGCGAATGCAGTCCCGGCGCTGTACACGCTCACTTCCCCACTCCACCGCCCGGTTTCGCCGCGGGCCGGGAGGAGGCTTCGGTCGCTGCGCGCGCCGCTCCGCCCCCGTACGGTGCGGAAGCGAAGGGGGCCGCAGCCGCTTCTCGCCGGGGGTGCTCCCGTGCTCTGTCCGCTGCGGGAGCGCAGGTTTTCAGGGACCATGGTGCAGCTTTACAACTTGCACCCCTTCGGGTCGCAGCGAGTTGTGCCCTGCAAGCAAGAGCCGGCCCATTTCTGCTGCGGCCGCGACGTACTGTTCGTGGCCAGCGCGTCGGCCAGTTGCAGGGTGGAGGTGTTCGCCCTGCGCGACCAGGGTCGCTGCGAGCCCGTAGGCTCTTTCGCCACGCTGGGCCCCGTCCTGCGCATGGTGCACAGCCAGACAGGTCAGTGTGCTTCGCCGACGGGCCCGGAAGCGCTCGGCTGGGGAGGCTCGGACGTCTCCATAGCGGGGAGAGGCCCGGGGGCTCTGCCGGGTGGAGGCGCTTGGTCTGTGCCGGGCCGGCACGGCCCGAGCCGGGCCTCGGGGAGACGACGGCGGGCCGGAGGAGGTGGGGATGGCGGCGATTAAGGCCCAGCAAAGCCCTGGCTGCCGCGGTCCGGGCGGCACAAGGCTGGCGCTTGCAGAAGCACTGACTGGTCTGAGAGCTGTGCAACGGGCTGGGAGTCCTCGAGCCAGTGGGAAGTGCGAAGCCAGCACACTGAGTTTTTTGCCGTCTTGCCCTTTTTACTGTTTTTTATTTCAGAGCACGGGTCGGGCGGTCAGTGCAGTCGATCCCACAGCTCTTTATGAGTCTTAACCCGGCTCTTCAGAGAACAAAACGTTTTCTTCATAGTGAATATTCTGAGGGGGGAAACACCTTGACTGCAATCACAGTTCATAATGTGGACTCACTTGGGAGTTAGTCTGGACCTAGACCTAGAAGTTCTTTTGTTTTTAATGATGCGTGAAGTGTGTTCCACCCAACAAAAAAACTTGTACTTCAGATTTCATTGGAGAAAAATTGGTGAAAATGGGTTTTGGAATTTCATGTAAGAGCTGAGAATTTAAGATGTTTCTTTGCAATGTACTATAGCAGGTAAAGAGCTCAAAACATGTATCTATTCCATAATAATATATCACTATCACTGCTTTCTTTGAAGGAGACTATCTGGTGACAATTGAAGAAAAAAGCAAAGCCACTTTCCTCAGAGCGTATGTGAACTGGAGATGCATGTCTGCAGGGAGTTCTCGCGTTTGTGTTCGGATGGTCGGTCACAAGATGGAAGAGTCATACAGTGAAACCTTAAAAGAACAGATGTCAATTGTGGAAATGCCACTTTCAGATCCTCCACTCTGCATTTCATGCTGTCCTCTAAATGGAGATCTTCTTGTGGGCTGCAAAAATAAACTAGTCATGTTCTCTTTGAAATACCTGTTTATAAACCAGAATTTGACTGTGTTAGACTTTGAACGCTCCTTAATTTTACACATTGATAACTTCATTCCTGCTGAAATTGCATTTTGTGCCAGACATATAGCCATAACAACAGAGCTGGATGTTCTGATCCTGAAACTGGAACTGGTCCAGCAAAGTGCAGACAGGACAGAGCAATGTGCACATAGCGTTAGTACACTAGAAAAGCCTGTGGGTGGAGGTGAGTACAAAAAAATTACTTATTTTTTTTTTAATATCCAAGAATCTTCTGGTTTGTGTTATTCTCAGAGAATTGCCCTTCAGAAAATATTTCCAAATCGTCTAAGTACTGTGGATATTCTAGTACATGGAGAGTTATACCACTTGCTGTTGGAGGTAACCCTTAAAATATGCCATCATTCTGCAGACGATTTGAGGATAGTGCAGTCTCTACAGAGATAGAATTAGGAACCTGTTTTGGGCCACTTTGGGTGCTGCCATGGGCCAAAGCAGTTGTAGTTCAGTGTGCTATGTTCAGAAAAATTATTGTTAGTGTCAGTGCCCAGATAACTGTGTCTCTTCTAAGGAGCAAGTGGGAGGCCAAATGGAGGAAGCATGTAATGAACCTTGAAGTCAACCCTGTGTATTGGCTTACACAGTGCCAGTGCCTATGCACTCTTGTAACTTAGTAACAAGACTCAGAACCTGCATAAACAAGGTGTCAGCAAATTCTCTTTTTTCAGTCCTTTGTGTTATTCAGGAGTTTGCCTTAGAATCCTAGAAATCCCAGAAATAGATTTGCCCAAATAGGTTGCATTCCTGTGTATTGCAAAAAATCAGTCCGTATGGAATGAGTTCCCACGTTTCCGAAAGTATCAGATGAATACCAACAAACCTTAGGAAAATCCTTCCTTTATAATTTAAGAAACTTAGAAAATAATGGTATTTTTGAACTGGACACTGTACAAAGAAGAAAAAGGGAAAGCATAAACTGGAACTGAGTGAAGATGGATCTTAACTGAGATAGTGGCATCCTGCACCTAGCTGGTTTTATTCCTAAAAACTAAGAAGAAAAGTTCAAATTACTCTGAGTGCTGTTAGGATTTGCTTTCCAGAACTTATGTGAGTTTAAGATAACACAACTTTCTATCGTAGCTGCCTTTTCCTTCTGAAAACCAATTCAGCCAACATTGTTAGAGGGTAGCCATTTGCAGCACAGGTTGCCCTGGACTTGCCTTCTAATGAACAGTTTACCTGTTCTTTCAGAAATCTTCACTCATGGGTATTGAGATTGTTGAGGCTTAAGTAAAGGATTGTTCTCATCTTCTAGCATAGGTATTTTCAAAACCTCATGGTTTGATGAAGCCAGTGCTAGTTAGAAAGCTGTAATTGAAGTATTTAATTTATACCTTGCCATATAATTTTGTTACTGCTAAATGGAATGGCTTGAACAGTTAATACAGCATTTTCTTTGTTAAGGTGTGAAAGATGAAGGCCCTTCAACGCATACTTTGCAGCTAGAATTAGATGAGTTCATCATATGTCAGAAGCCAGCAGAACTGCTTGGGGAAGAAAGTAAGCTGTGTGAGATACCCATCACACTGGAATACACAGAGTTACCTACGGAAGACACAAAGCGCTTCCAAGTGCGGTATCTGCTTTTCAGGTATTTGAAATGTATTTTGCCCTTTACAGGCTAATTCAGTACACAAAACCAGAATGAGCTGTGTCTCACATCTTGTGGGAATTAAAATCCTGACATTTTGACATCTGGGGTTTTTATAAGGTTAGAGTGTTTTTTGTGCTGAGGAAATAATGTGATACCAAAGAAAGCCCATTTTTCAGTTGGAAGGGATCTGCAACAATAATCTAGTCTAACTGTCTAACCACTTCAGGGCTGACCCATTGTTAAAGCATATTATCCCTAGCTGTGCTGTGAGCTTCTTGGCATTGCCATGCTAATTACATTAGTAGTACGAGCGCATGTTGTTGAGTATAAAACATGAGCTATGGCTTTTTAGCTCGTGCTGTTTACTTGTCCAGAGTAGCTCATAATAATTTCTCACAGAGGTCCTGTGTTGTTCTTTTGGATTTTTTTCTCTAGATGTTTTACACCTGACCAGTCGCCTTTTGGGTTCTGTGAAGAGACAAAGCTGCACTCTGTTCAGCTGCTTCCTGTATACCAGACAGGTATATGGATATGCATGGATGCATTATGGCCTGTGTCACAGGAGATCTGGGAATGGAAAGAGCTTCTTTGTATATTCTGTTCTGTAGACTGTTTCTGTATGATTTGTTTTTAAATTAAGTCTTTCTTTCCTTGACAATGATTTAAACTGAGCTTTTATTAAAAAATCTTTTAGTTTCTCCATGTTCTGCGTAAACCTTGAACTAAAATACCAATTTGCCACACCAAAAGAGGGTGACTAAACCAGCTTTTATCAGTTTCTCTAGTTATAACACTGAGTTATTTTACGTCACAAAACAGTCCCTCTTTAAATTGCGTAATAAAATTATCCTCAGTGTTAGCAGATACTAGGCTGCCCCTCATTAGTCAACAGTGGAAATCAGAGTAGTAAACTTTAATAATCATTAAGATACAGTTTACCTTTCTTCCAGGCTTTAATTAAAGTTTTAATTAAAGGGATGAATGCAGATTTAGGGGTTCACTAATCACAGTACCTCAAGCCACAGCAGACCTGCAGAAAAATTTAATGCTGTACGTTACCAGTCATAACTGACTGCTCACCCAGTTTGTGATTATTTGCCTGTCTGATAAGTTGTGAAGTCTCATTTAAGTTGCAGTAGACTCAAAAGAATGAGCTACTTGCCATTACTCCAGCTGTCCTATGTTCACTTGTGATTTACTGACTTTGACAAGAGGGTCTGTAGAATGGGAACACAGCATTTACCTGCCAAAGCGGCTTTATAAATAAATTATGCCATTTCCAGTCTTTCTTTCCCTTAAGTGAGGACATGTATTTTGGTGAGCTGCAGCTCTGGATGACCATTCATCCCAGCTCACGAGTAGTTGTTTAAGATTACGCTGATCATTCAGTCCATGGATGTTTATTTGTGATGAATCTGACAGGACTCGCAGATGTGGTGACCTCTCTAGAATGTCTTCACTTGGTGGTACAGTCACACTTTTGTTAGAAAAGCCTCCAAATGAGATAACATGGCATACACATTTGCAGCCTGTGCACTGATCCAGCCTGTACACTGGTCTTCATATAGCGCTTTTCACTAGCTATTAACGAAACCAGTCTACAGCCTGAGCAGGTTTGATAGTATCTTTTAGGTATCAGGCTTGCAAAGGAATTGCTAGGTTTTGATTTATGAGGTATATAAAACACTTTTCTTATTGTTACATCTAGGAAGTTCTGTGGCAGCCCATGAGGAAACTGAGACCAAGAAAGAACTACTGAGTCTCTTTTGCTTTTTCTCTTTACCTCATGTTGGATATCTCTACTCTGTTG